TGGGGGGTGGGGGGGGTCCCGGCCCCTGCCCCGGGCGGGCACACAGCCCGGCTGTGCCTCTCTGCAGGGATGCCCATCAGCAGCCTGCGGGAGATCACCCTGCTCCTGGGGCTCCGGCACCCCAACATCGTGGAGCTGAAGGAGGTGGTGGTGGGGTACCATCTGGAGAGGTGAGTGTCCCCTCTCTGCCTCCCAGAGCCTTCCCAGGCCCTTCAGCCACCCCTCGCAGCACAGAGCAGCGCTGGGCACTGGAAGGGTGGCCCAGGAGAGGCTCCTGATTGTGTCGTGTCTCCAACAGTATTTTCTTGGTGATGGGATACTGTGAGCAGGACCTGGCCAGCCTCCTTGAGAACATGCAGACACCTTTTTCAGAGGCTCAGGTAAAAGCTGGGCTGAGCTTTAGGTCCATCACCCCTGAGAAGGTCCTGCCACTCTAGCCAGAATCCACTGACCACCAGTGGGGACTCCCTAGACATTGTGCTGGGCTTCAGTAGGGCTGGGGTGAGGTAGGATTCCTGGGGTGCATGAGGAGTCTGGGCTTAGTCAGCTCTCACAGAACATTCCAGGGACTTTCCAGGCTGGGAGCAAACCAGCAGGGAAACAGAGCTGGGAGAAAATGTGCCCCAGCAGCCTGTGAGCTGCTCTGGGAGGATACAGGGACAGAGGTGTGGCAGAGCAGGGACAGCTGTGGCAGAGCTGGGTGCTCCTGTCCTCTCTCTGCAGGTGAAGTGCATCGTCCTGCAAGTCCTCAAGGGCCTTCAATACCTTCATGAGAACTACATCATCCACAGGTGGGAGCAAGGGGACAGGGATATGGGGAGAAGAGGCTGAGGAGACTTGCCAGGCCCTCGGACCACACTGTCCCTCCTCCACCTCCCGCACCCAGGTCCTGTGAGCTGGGAGCAGCCACGGGCAAATCCTGTGGGAGCTCTGGTGGGGCAGGGAGACAGCTGGATCATGGGATTGGCTTTTCCTGATGAGCTGGGGGTGCGGGAGGAGCCGGGGCCAGCGCTGACCAGCTGCTCTCCCCTTCTGGCAGGGACCTGAAGGTCTCCAACCTCCTCATGACTGACAAAGGCTGCGTGAAGATCGGTGAGTCCCGGCTGTGCCCGCAGCTCCGTGATGTGCTGGGGTGAGGAGCTCCCCCCCCTCCTGCCCCCCAGCCTCTCTTGCAGCTGACTTTGGCCTGGCTCGTACCTATGGGTTGCCACCAAAGCCCATGACCCCCAAAGTCGTTACGCTCTGGTGAGTGGTGGCAGCAGGGGGGGTTCCTTTGTGCCACCTCTGTCACTGTCCCCTCACACCCCTGCTGTCTCCTGTGCAGGTACCGAGCGCCCGAGCTGCTGCTGGGGATGACGACGCAGACCACCAGCATCGACATGTGGTGAGGGGGGGGCCATGCACCCGTGGGTGGGG